TGTCCAAACACCGATGCACGCTCTGTTCACCTGGACGCTGCGTCTTCAGCGGACGAGGAGGCGGAGTCAGTACTGGATTCATGATCACACATATTATTTTGTAACATTATTAAGCTAAAAATCGTATATATTTAATCTTCACTATGAAAACATGAGGAAGTTCTTGGCTTTACCTTTTTCAAAATAAAAGTTAATGATCGATGATCATATTGGAATAAATGATTTGATTTAAGATAATAACACTGCAAACGTTTAATATTACAAATATGTAGCTTTGTTTAATGATGTCATCATAGTGCTGACCTACAGTGGGATTTGCTGTATTTTTCCTTTAAATCCGATTTATTCAGATATAATTATTAAACCTACAGAGAGATATTCACGCTCTGAACGATAGATGAGATTGACCAGAGCAGCTCTTCGACATTTGTCTTAACATCGAATCCTCTAAAAATAAACCACAACATCAAAACATTTGCGATGACAAAAGTTTAAGTTGTGTTTCTAACAGCTGCTTGTTAAAATTCACGTTCTCTGTGAAATGAAACAGAAAAATGAAGTTTCAGCTACAAACTCACAGCTTCCCAAATAAAGTCGGGATGAATTTGGTGATCACAGAGAATCACAGAGTTGGTTCTCGGAGTTCCCCTGGGGAATCCGTGTGGGTGGGCGTGATGGCTAAAGTAAAGCGCTGTGTGCACGTGTGGGAGGATGACGCAGCTGTGGTTCTACTGAAGTAAAGTTCACATCAGGGACAAACGACTGATGTGAGTCTGTGAAGTCTGCAGAGTTCCTGCTGTTTATGTTGATCCTGGCTGAAGGAGCAGCTCCACAGAATACACACTCTAAATTCCCAGAAACCAGGCAGACACACACACACACACACACACACACACACACACACACATCTGTGTGTCAGTAAGTGTGACGCTCCCTAACACTGCCACTGAAGGATGAAGCAGAATCGACCACGATGACTGCTCAGTTCCTCTGAAACTGAGTGGGTGGTGTCAGTGGGTGGTGTCAGTGGGTGGAGGTGATCACATTTGGTTTTCTCTGGGTCAGTTTGTAGTTTGAAACTCAAGTTATTTTTATAATTTACGTTAACAGATGAACATTTTTCCCTTAAATACCTCCACCCTGTGCGTCTCCTGACACGCCTGATCAGATAGGAGCAGCGTCTATCCAACGA